CACACACCCACATCCACAGCCGTGTGACCCGGCCCTTGAGAAGGGGCTGCCTGGCTCTGAGTCACCGGGTGTCTCCCAGGAGGGGAGGGAGGAGTCCCTGGCACCCTGGCCGCCCCCGCAAGTCTGCCCCGATCCGGGCCAACCCCTGGGCTTCGGTGCAGACCGGTGACCTGGGGCTCCCCGGCCACGTCCAGACAGCTCCGTGGCCCCCAGAGGGCTACCGGGACACACACCGACTTGATGACTGCTTTTTACCACCCGTTGGGCTTAAAGTCGACAAGGTAATGACTCTGGGACTCCTTCCACCTCCTCGGGAGGCAGGAACGGACGGTCAAGTCCAGGGCACGGGGAACCCTGTGCCCACGAAGAAGGATGCTCGTGGCGTCACGTGTCGTGTCAGTTATGACTGCACCGACTTGAGCGATTCCGTTCCTTTTCTCAGACACGGAAATCATCTTTGGCAGGAATTCCCCCACCTTCCCCCGGCTGCTGAGACACAGACCGGTGGAGGGGGGCGGTTCCCACTCACTGTCCCTCTGACCGACGGCAAAACCTGGTCTCTGCGGTCCCTCGTCCAGACCTGGCTGGGAGACCTGGTCAGGGTGTGCCCTCTCCCGGGGTTATTTAGTTCTGATGTACACCTGTAGTTAAGGACCAGGGGCTGGATAGACGCCCTCAAACACAGAAAGAGTTGATGTTTCCCTTCTGGGGCTGGAGAGATGGGCAGGTCTGGGGCAGGGTCGAGTCAGGCACGCAGAACCCCTGTGCGGACGAGGAGGAAGGACGTGGCTGGGCGGCATCTGGCTATTTTGGAGGAAAGATTCTTTGGTACTTCCTCTGACCAGATGGCCCAGATGTTCCCGTGTGGGCTCTCAGGAGCCTGGAAATAGAAGGTGTTGCTCTCAGCCTTTGGTTCAGTGGGGGGCGGGCATGGTGAGTTTTTCCTTCCTCTGGATGAAATAAAATTCATATTTGAGGGCAAGACATGCTTGAACATAATTTTCTTTGCCCCTTTGGGGCCCCCTCGCTCCCCTGTCCGGTGTGTCTTGTTTCTGCTCCAACCAGACCTTCTTAGGAGATAACCTTCCTTCTTGATCTCGGGAGGGGCCGTGATGAGCGTGACCCACCGCTCAGTTTGTACGTGTAGACCTGGACCGCGTGACTGTCAGGAATCCATCACCAGACGTACAACTCTTTCGTCTCACAGCCTCATATAACCATGCCAGGGTCTCTGACCGGTGGAACCATCCTCTGGACTTTCTGAAAGACCGTCTCCTGGGTTCTTATCGTACTCACGTTGGCGCGAATAAAAATGTCCATTTCTCTCTCAGATCGACTACTGATTAATTTTTTCGTCGACACGCTCAGGGGGAGGTTCCTGGACCCAGGGGAAGCCTGGTTTGTGGTTTGCTTTTGGGGTCAGTTTGATGCTTACCCCTTGTTCTCTGCGTCCTTGAATAGAATAAACTAGTAGACTGTCATATTGGGGGCACAAAGTGGATCTAGGTCATTTGCAGTGGGTGTATTTCCATTTGGGGCCGGGGGCGCATTTTGCAGACCTTGCAGCAGGCGAACTGTGGAGTCCTGGGCTTGCAAAATTTATCAGGGTCTCTGATGTTTGAGGACTTTGCAGGACTGGTGGCAGAGGGACCCCATAGGTTGCTCCCATATCCTGGCTTTTGTGAATAATGCTGCAATGAACATGGGGGTGGGTGGATCATTTCAAATTAGTATTCTCATTTTTTTGAGATGCCCAGGAGTGGGATTGCTGGGTCATAGGGTAACTCTTGTTTTTAACTTTCTGAGGCACCTCCATCCTGTTTCCCACAGTGGCAGTGCCAGCTTGCATTCCCACCAACGCACGGTGCACAACGGCTTCCATTCTCCACGGCCTAGCCAACCCTTGTTCACTTCCTGTCCTTATGACAGGTCATCCTCATAGGTGTGAGGTGACACCTCATTGTCCTGATTTGCATTTATTTCTCTGCTTGTTAGTGATGTTGAATATCCTTCCGTGTACCTGGTGGCCATCTGTATGTTTTCTTAGGAAAAATGTCTATTCAGTTTGCCTGCTCAGTTTTTACAGGATTTTTTTTTTTTGAGTTGCAGTAAGTTCTTTATATATAAGTTCGGGTATTGGCCCCTTATCAGATACACAATTTTCAGGTATTTTATTTTATTCCATTCAGTAAGTACCTTTTCACTTTGTTGACAGTTTCCTTTGCTGTGCAGAGCTTTTTAGGATAACGTATTCCAACTTGTTGATTTTTGCTTTCGACTTCAGATTCCAAAAAGCATCCCCGAGACCTGTGTTGAGAAGCGTACCATCTGTGG